TGAGTCTTTCACATCGCTGTGGAGGAATTTTGGCCCACTCTTCTTTGCAGAATTGTTTTAATTCAGCCACATTGGAGCCTTTTCAAGCATGAATGGACTGTTTAAGGTCATATTTAAAGGCGCTGCTTTACCCCACATACGCACGACCGGAAGGAGCGGAAGCGGCGCTCATTCAGCGGCCTCGTTTCGCTTCGACGGCTTTCAGCTTCACCCTGCTCACCCATGAACATGATTCCGTGCCTTTAAGTCCGTACTTTAACTTGGCCACTCCAAAACCTTCATTTTGTTTTTCTTGAGCCATTCAGAGGTGGGCTTGCTGGTGTGTTTGGGATCATTGTCCTGCTGCAGAACCCAAGTGTGCTTGAGCTTGAGCTCACAAACTGATGGCTGGACATTCTCCTTCAGGATTTTCTTATAGAGCGCAGAATTCATGGCTCCATCAATTATAGCAAGTCGTCATGGTCCTGAAGCTGCAAAGCAGCCCCAGATCATCTATATATATATATGTATAAGACCTGCTGTATAAGACCAATGTAACTGGTGCTTTGGTTTGCTGCTGACAAACAGAGCTGGGTCCGTTACTAATTACAGATTACATAATGAAAACTGTAGTTAGTAACGTAGATTACTTTTAGATTACTTTATCAAACTTGTTTTAAACTCACCATAAATGTACCACATTGATATGCATTATATGAAGAAACATTTGACTGTTGGTATGATGTTCTTTTTATGAAATGCTGTGTTGGTTTTACGCCAGATGTAACGGGACACACACCTTCCAAAAAGTTCAACTTTTGTCTCATCAGTCCACAGAATGTTTGCCCAAAAGTCTTGTGGATAATCATGTTTTTTGGCAAATGTGAGACGAGCCTTTGTGTTTTCTTTGGTCAGCAGTGGCTTTTGCCTTGGAACTCTCCCATGAAACATACAAATTACTAAAAGTTTATATATATATATATATATATATATATATGTATAAGACCTGCTGTATAAGACCAATGTAACTGGTGCTTTGGTTTGCTGCTGACAAACAGAGCTGGGTCCGTTACTAATTACAGATTACATAATGAAAACTGTAGTTAGTAACGTAGATTACTTTTAGATTACTTTATCAAACTTGTTTTAAACTCACCATAAATGTACCACATTGATATGCATTATATGAAGAAACATTAATAAACATGAAAATAGCAAATGACATTACATACCCAAAATCTTTCAGGTTTGAAATATTTTTACCCAGACTTCCAGAATCAACCATTACTGAAGGTCAGCGGATATGATGACATGGTGTTTATCGCCAGTGTTTTAGCAATTATTTGTTTCATACATTGCAAATTTATTTACACAACATTCGTGAATATAGGCTAAATGGTATGAGGATTTTTTAGAAAGGAAAAACAAATTAGGGAGAATCAATAAATTATGAATGATTTACTGCCATTGGGTGAATATGTAATCATGTAATCCCTAGAAAAGTAACTGTAATCTGATTATTAAAATGTAATATAATCTAATTGCAAGTACTTAATGTTTGGGATCTGATTACATAATCCAGATGACATGTAATCAGTTACTACCCAGCTCTGCCGACGATGAATATACTGTATATTTTCACAACTGTCATCCAATACTAGAGTACGGGTTACTTACTGGCT